AAAAACACCAAAGAAAGAATCAACAAAACAAAGAGTTAGTTCTTCAAAATATTAACAAAATAGACAAACCCTCAGCAAATCTTATCAGAAAAAGAAGAGAGAACACACCCAAATAAACTCAGAGATGAGAATGGAAACATCACCATAGAAACAACCAAGATCCAGAACATTATAAGGAAATACTTCTCAAACCTCTATGCTAATAAGCTTGAGAACCTGGAAGAAATGGACTGACATGCCAAAACTAAACCAAGATGAGTTAAACCAACTTAACAGGCCCATATCAAGCATTGAAATAAAACAGCAATAAGGGACCTCCCATTTAAGAAAAGCCAGGACCAGATGGATGGATTTACAGCAGAATTCTACAAGGATTTCAAAGCAGAACTCACACCAATACTCCTCCAACTCTTCATTGAAATTGAAAGAGAAAGTTCACTACTAAACTCTTTCTATGAAGCCATCATAACCCTCATCCCAAAGCCAGGCAGGGACTCATCAAAGAAACAGAACTATAGACCCATTTCTTTGATGAACATCGATACAAAATTTCTCAACAAAATTTTGGCCAATAGACTTCAATATTTCATCTAAAAAAGCATATATCACGATCAAACAGGATTCATTTCAGGGATGCAAAGCTGATTCAATATACACAAATCAATTAAATGGATTAAAATAATTCATCACATCAACAAGAACAAGGATAACAACTACATGGTTATCTCGATAGATGCAGAAAAAGCATTTGACAAGATCCAACACCCCTTTATGATGAAGGCTCTGGAAAAATTAGGAATCCATGGAACATTGCTCAATACAATAAAGGCTATATATGACAAACGTACAGCCAGCATTATACTTAGTGGTGAAAACCTAAAGCCATTTCCTCTAAACTCAGGAATGAGACAAGGATGTGCACTCTCTCCACTTCTTTTCAATTTAGTATTAGAATGCCTAGCTACAGCAATAAGACAAGATGCAAACATAAAGGGGATCCAAATAGGGAAAGATGAAGTAAAACTCTCCCTCTTTGCAGATAACACGATCTTGTATTTAATGAATCCCACAGACTCCACTCCCAAATTTCTCCAACTGATTCAAAACTTTGACAAAGTAGCAGGGTATAAAATTAACCCTCAAAAATCCATGGCTTTTCTGTATGCCAAAAATGCGAAGAGGGCAGCTGAAATCAGGAAAGCAACTCCATTCATAATAGCCCCACAAAAAATGAAATACATAGGAATTAACTCAATAAAAGAAGTGAAGGACCTCTATGATGAAAACATTAAAAACCTGAAAAAGGAAATCAAAACAGAACTGAGAAAGTGGAAAACCTCCCATGCTCCTGGATTGGAAGGATCAACATTGTGAAAATGGCAATACTTCCCAAGGCTATCTACAAATTCAATGCGATATCTATCAGTATTCCAATCTCATTCTTCAAGGAAATAGAAGAGGCAATCAAAAATTGATATGGAACAATAAAAGACCCGGAATAGCAAATACAGCTTGGTACTGGCACAAGAAGAGACCTCAGGACCAATGGAATAGAATTGAAAACCCAGAAATGAACCCACAGACCTATAGCCAACTAATCTTCGATAACAGAGCTCAAAAAATAGAATGGAAGAAAGACAGCCTCTTCAGTAAATGGTGCTGGAAAAATTGGTTAATCACTTGTAGAAAACTAAAGCTAAATCCTTATATATCACCCTACATCAGAATCAACTCTAAATGGATCAAAGACCTAGGAGTCAAAGCAGACACCCTGAAAACATTACAGGACAGAATAGGAGAAACCCTAGGTCTCCTTGGCACAGGCCGAAATTTTTCTTAATAGAGCCCCAGAAACACAACAAATCAAAGAAATATTGGACAAATGGGACTGCATGAAGTTGCAGAGCTTCTGCATGGCAAAGGACATAGCTAGCAAGATCAATAGAAAGCCCATGGATTGGGCTTCACTAGCCATACAACAGACAAGGGTCTCATATCTAAAATACACCTGGAACTCAAAAAATTAAATCCCCCAACAACAAAGCCTCAAAGAAACAACTGCCCAATAAATAAGTGGGCTAAAGACTTAAAGGGAAACTTCTCTGAAGAGGAAATAAGAATGGCCAATAGACACATGAAGAAATGCTCAACCTCTCTAGCCATAAAATTAATGCAAATCAAAACAACATTGAGATACCACCTCAACCCAGTTAGAATGGCTATAATCAAGAACTCTAATAACATCTGGAGGAGATGTGGCCAGAAGGGAATCTTACTGCATTGTTGGTGGGAATGTAAACTTGTTCAACCACTTTGGAAAGTAGTATGGAGGTTCCTCAAAAGACTCCATGTAGAGTTCCCCTATGACCCAGCCATCCCACTTTGGGGAATTCACCTGAATGATCACAAACAAGACCATACTAAAGCTACCAGCACAACTATGTTTATTGCAACATTATTTACCATAGCTAAAATATGGAACCAACCCAGATGCCCCTTAGTAGATGAATGGATCAAGAAAATGTGGTATATATACACAATGGAATTCTATGCCTTCATCAGAAAGAATGGCATTGCCCCATTTGTTAGGAAATGGAAAGACTTGGAAAAAATTATAGTCAGTGAAGTAAGCCAGGCCCAAAGAAACATAGGTCCCATGGTTTCCTTTATTTACAATAACTAGTATATGTCTTAGACAAGCAAAAAGGTCAGATAAGATGATGTTAAGCGAAATGAATCCCAAGATAAGGACCCAAGTGTTTTTTTCTTTCTCACTATTGTTTCTAACATATTTATAAGGTACCACTTGCTTTTTTTGTTGCTTTGTGTCTTTCCCCCCATGGTATAACCCCTGTTTTCACTGTATTTGATGTTAGTATAATTTGGGGAGGTGAAGGGGAAAAACAAATTGTTCAAACAAGGATACAGTTTGACCCATTGCCACAATGAGATATACAAGATTCTATGTCAAAAAACAAACTTTACAATTTGGGGGGGGAGGGGGGATGTACTTGTGGAGATGGGAAGGAAGGGCTGGTAGGGGAAAAACAAAGAAGGAGGCAACAATGCTTGATAAGAAATGTACTCGTTACATCGCTCATGTGACTGTAACCCCTCCTCTGTACAGCATTTTCACAATAAAAATCTTATTTAATTTAAAAAAAGATTAAAAAAAAGAAATAGCAATCAATGAAACAGAAAACAGGACAATGAAGAAACTCAACGAAGCCAAATTTTTATTCTTTGAGAACATGAATAAAATGGATAAACATCAAGCCAGAATGATCAGGGAAAGAGAAATAAAGACAAGTTAGCCAACACCAGTAGAACACATCTATAATCTTTGCTACTCAGGAGGCTGAAATCTGATAATCTCAGTTCAATCTCCAGCCCAGGCAGGAAAATCCATGGGGGTTATCTCTCATTAATCACCAAATAAAGCTGGAAGTAGATCTGTAGCTCACATGGTAGAGCACTAGCCTTGAACAAAAAAGCTCAGGGAAAATAGCTAGACCCTGAGTTCAAGCACCAGGACTAGCATACACACTCACACAAAAAATGACAAATTATTACTAATGATAAAAGAAATGGCATCACTAATGCAAGACTTATAAGGCAATATGGTAAAAAGCTTTATGTGAATAAATTCAGCAAATTGAATGGGAAAAAATCTTCTTTAAAATAATAAACTACTCTAAGAATGTCATAATAAGAAATACATACTTGCTTTCTCCTCTAGTTCCTGAGGTAGAGCTCCTCAAACCCTTGCAGACAGGGTATGAAGAGAACCTTTTGTTCTATCATCTGGTCTTTGACCCCAGCTCATGACACAAAGCAGCTAAAATTTGTATGAGTCTCTTATAACAACAGGACAGTTTTCAGAACTTGAAATATGCTTCCATAGGTCTCCAGAACCCAGCAACTGCTCTGCGGGCTATGGGTTATGTGGAAGTTCCACAGCCTGTCTGCTTCTGAACCACCCAACTGTGACATTTCTCAGTTAGTCAAAGGCAGAAGCTGTGAAAATTCACCTCTAGTTTAAATCAAACACTTGCTCAGGAGATGGGTCTAGATCTTCAGTAACTACTGTCCCATCAATAGATGAGACATCTCCCACCTAGCCTTTGGGAGCATCAGACTGACACCTATTTTCATATACAACGTCCAGAACACTCCTGGGTTGAGGCAGAACTTTTCTGTGGGGCTTTTTTAGACTCCAGTTGCTGTTTTATTGTTTTTGTGCTGGTCCTAGGGTTTGAACTCAGGGCCTGGGAGCTATCCCTTAGCTTTTTTTTTTTTTTTTTTGCTCAAGGCTGGCACTTTACCATTGAACTACAGTTCAAAAAGTGGCTCAAGCTTGACACCAGTGGCTCATGCCTGTAATCCTAGCTACTCAGGAGGCTGAGATCTGAGGATCATGGTTCAAAGCTGGCCAAGTCAGGAAAGTCCATGAGATTCTTACCTCCAATTAACCACCAGAAAACCAGAAGTGGTGCTGTGGCTCAACTGGTAGAGTGCTAGCCTTGAGCTGAAGAGCTCAAGGACAGTACCCAGGCCTGCCTAGAATTCAAGCCCTATGACAGACAATAAGAAAAGAGTTCAAAAATACACTTGTGGCTTTTTGGTGGGTAACTGGAGGTAAGAGTTTCACAAACTTTCCTACCCAGGTCTAGCTTTGAACCTTGATCACCAGGATTATAGGCATCAACCACCAGCACTAGACTCCAACTGTTATATTTTAAGACTCCTGCTCAACCTTCTAAGGGACTTTTCTCTCAGTTGATAAGGGTCTCTGAGTTTACAAACATGTGCCCACTCTGTGAGAATGAGGGGAGCTAGCTTAGGAGAGGAAGGACTGTCAGAGACTCTCCATTTCTTGTGGAGAAGTACTTTGCCTTGGCTGGTCCCCGTGCAGATCCCCGCCCCTCGGGAACAGGACAGGCAGAGGTACAAAGAGCTACTTGTGGTTTTCTTCCTGCAAACCCAGCACTCCACCGGGGCGGGCCTTTCGACTACTTGTCATAATCTTAAGTAACTTCAGTTTTTCTCAGCCACTAGCAGATCAGAAGCTGGGAGCTGAGTCGTCCCTGGTGTTCTGGGGACCTGCCCTGGAATTAACTCCAAGTGAGCAGTTTGGAAATCCCAGCTGTGACCAGCCAAGCACAGAGCAGTGGAGTCCCCATCAGTGCAGAAGGTCTCCCCAAAGTGCCCGTCATGCCTTGGCAGCTCTCTGCGTCAATGGTGATCTTCCTGTCTCTGGCTGGTGAGTGATACACACCACTTTCTGTGGTGGCCCTCTAGTCCTTTTAAATCATTCTGGTGGTGGTCCCCAGTCTACAGATATGGCTTCTGCTACTATAGGTGTTTAGCCCCAAAATATCTCCAACTTGGTCCTGTTGGAGCACACCTTGTTTTTTCAAGGGTTTTTGCAGCTTGTTTTGGTTTAGTTAGGCAGAGTAGGTGTCAACTCCAGAAGACTGTTGCCACTGTCTAGTTGGTGCCAACATTCATTTAGAGTACCTGATTCAGGCTGCATTTGTAGAAATCACTTTGATTTAGGAGATGGAAAACTGAGTCAGGGTTCAGACACAGGGCTCTTGCTTTGTTATCTGATAGGCATATCTTATTTTCCTTGTTTTACTTAAGCTCTGTTGGTCTGATATAAACAGTGAACTGTGAAGATGCATTAGATGTAGTCTGACCAGTTGCATCATTCCAGAAAGATATAAATCAGGGCATCAAAGGTTTTGTTTGTTGGTTTGTTGGTTGGTTTGTTAAGAAAGAAGGAGAAGCCGGGCACTGGTGGCTCACACCTGTAATCCTAGCTACTCAGGAGGCTGAGATCTGAGGATCCCTTCAAAGCCAGCCCTGGCAGGGAAGTCTGTGAGACTTATCTCCAATAAATCACTAGAAAACCAGAAGTGGTGCTGTGGCTCAAGCGGTAGAACACTTGCCTTGAGCTGAAGAGCTCAGGGACAGTGCCCAGAAAGGTTCAAGCCCCACAACCGGCAAAAAAAAAAAGAAAAAGAATGAAAAATGGAAGGAAGGAAAGAGAAGGGAAGGGAAGGAGAAGGGAAGGGAAGGAGAAGGGAAGGGAAGGAGAAGGAAAGGGAAGGAGAAGGAAAGGGAAGGGAAAGCAAAGCAAAGCAAAGAAAACAAAGCAAAGTAAAGCAAAAAAAATGACTCTTTCACCTCGGCTCAGAAGGCTGTCTGAGGAGCTCCTGTTCTCTGCCTAGGATGTTGAGTATTTTTTCTGCTGGTCTGCTCTTGTTACCAAATTCACTAAATAATCCCAAGTCTCTTCTAGAACTGGAACTGAACTGAGCATGTCAGAAGAGCCCAATGAGCCCACACTCTGCCCTGCTGCCATGTTCCAGGAGAGGACTTAGTGGCCCTTGTCTGGGATGTGAATGTGTGCAGTCAGGCCTGCTCCCCTAAGCCAGCCTGCTTTTCATTATGGCATGCTTTCACAGTTTTAATGCCATGTTCTTTGGGGCTCAGCATAAAACTCACCTTCCTTAGGTTCCATCTCCACATCACAACAGAGTAGAGAGAGAAAGAGAGGGGGGGAGAAGGGATGGAGGGAAGGGGGAGGGAAGGAGGAAGGGAGAGAGGAAGCACGCAAGAAAGGAAGGAGAGAAAGAAAAACAGAAAGCAAGGAGAGGAAGCAAGGAAAGAAAGAAAGAAAGAACGAAAGAAAAAAGAAAGAAAGAAAGAAAAGAAAGAGAGAGAATGAAAGAAAGGAAGGAAGGAAGGAAGGAAGGAAAGAGAGGGAAAGGAAAGGAAAGAAAGTGAAAAAAAGGAGAAAGGAAGAGAAAGAAAAAGAGAAGAAAAAAAGAAGTCATTATTAGAAACCAATAGAAAAGCAAAATTATATCTACTTAGCCTACTTAGCCTCCTCAGTGACTGCCATGTGGCCACCAAATGAAAGGCTAACAGGGACAGGTGTGTTCAGGAACCCAAGCACTGACAAGTACAGGATACATGGGGGGGGGGAGTGCAGCAGTGCCCTTTTCTCTTTGCACTGATACAGGGTGAAGGGAGCATATGAAGCTGCTGCAGGACATAGGTGTCATGGGGCCTCTGAGGGGCCATATCTGGATAGCAACCTCCCCGTGGGACCCTCCCTAGGATGGAGACACTGAGAATATCCCTTAACCTTTCAGAGGTCCAGTTTCCTCGCTGAGAAATGATGGCATCCTCTCCCAGGGTGCTGAGGAGACAAACCCGTATGTGTGGGAAATAGGTACTTGTGCTTGGTCAGGTCAGTCCCACTTGGCTCACTGTCGTCCCAGGGCCCTCTCTGCACGCACCTCTGTAGCTTTCTTCTCAGCACACAGCACAGTGATAGTGAGACCTTGCTTGTACCTGCTGTGCACCAGGCTCCATTCATGGCTCTTCTACTCTCAATATGACGTTGCAAATACAGATACCACCTTCATTCCACTTTGGAGTAAATAGAGGCTTCGAGCCTAAAGAACTTGCTCATGCCAGGTGCCCACTGGCTCACATCTATAATTCTTGCATCTCAGGAGGCTGAGATCTGAGGATCAAGGCTGGAAGCCAGCTCGGTAGACAAACAAGTGTGACTCTTATTTCCAATGAACCAACAAAAAGCCAGAAGTAAAGCTGCAGTTCAAATGGTCAAGTGCTGGTTTTGAGTAAAGAATCTAGAACAGTGCCCATGCACTGAGTTCAAGCAGAGTTTGGACAGTAAAGAAATGAATGAATAAACATACAAATAAAACTTGCTCATAATTACATGGGTGGTGACAACCTGAGCCGTGAACCTGCCTGTTCTCATGGCAACTCTCCTGCCTATAACTTGTGTGGTCTCATGAGAACACTGAGCAGTAACTTCTTGCTTTATGTCCATCATATTGATGAAGGGCCCAAGGCAGAGGGAGGCTCAGAGGCTTCCTGTGGCACCCCAGTTAGTAGTGGCAGCCCTAATACTGGTGTCCAAGAAGCTGAGCTTTAGATCTCTCTCCACATGATCCTGCATACAGTGTCAGGAAATATTTCTGGAATCAGATGATCAAAAGCCATGAGACACTTTGCTGGGAGAAACATAGCTCCTAGGTAAACCTCAGGAGTGATCTTTATCCAGGCCCTTTGCTTCCCTGGTCTCAAATTCTTAATCCTACCCCCAAATGAAAGGATTTAATTTGCAAAGTTTAGGATCAGCTACATAAAAACAATAAGCTCCAAATGACAGTGAATTAACCAGCATACCCTTGATACTCCTTCATGTGAAAGGAAATGCAGGGGAATACAGGTCTGTGCTAGAGGGTTTTCATAAAGGATCCAGTGATGGATGGAAGCAGGTAGCTCTGAGGATCTCAGTTCAAAGCCAGCTTGGGTAGGAAAGTCTATGAGATTCTTTTTTTGGGGGGGGGTCAATCATGGGGCTTGAACTAAGGTCCTTAGTGCTTTTCCCTGAGCTTTTTTGCTAAAAGCTAGTGCTCTACCACTTGAGCCACAGCTCTGCTTCTAGCCTTTTGGTGGTTGTTTGGAGATAAAATTCACATGAACTTGTGATCTTCAGATCTCAGCCTCCTGAGTAATGTGAGTCACCAACACCCACTCCAGGAGACTTTTATCTCAAATCAACCAACAAAAAGCTAGTAGTAGAGGTCAAGTGGTAGAATATTAGCCTCGAACAAAAAAGCTAAGTGAGCATGGGAGGCACTGAGTTCAAGCCCCAGTGCCAGCATGTACACGTGCGCATGTACACACACACACACACACACACACACACACGGAATCCAGTGTCCTAACATATTTTTAACACCTCCTCATAGTTCTGCATATCTTTGAGTTGCTGGTTGACTGAAGAAGAGAAAACAAAAACCGAATAGGGAAGTGGGACTTACAGTTGATGGAGGTCCTTTCCACCAGCCTTCCCAGAAGGCCTGTGACCTCATCAGTTCTACTGCTTTGTAAAATCCCATCATACATTCCTATCCAGCTAGACAGGACAGTGGACAAAGGGTTCTTAATTTCAGGTAACAAGTGCTCAATAAAACTCAGGTCTCTACTATCAAGGAAGAAGGGGAGAGTAATTTTGGAGCAGTTGTCCTGTAGACTGCCACAGGGCAAGTCCTTCTTGTTCTAGGGGACCCCTTGACTCTTTCTGCACATCCCTTCTAGAACTTTCCAAGGAGGTGCCAGGTAAGTTGTTCAGGGAGCTAAAAATCTGGTCTCCTTTGCCAGATGCCATTTGCTCACACTTGTAATCCTAGCTAATCAGTAGGCTGAAATCTGAGGATCTGGGATCTGAAGATCACAGTTCAAAGCCAGCCGGGGCAAGAAAGTGTCATACTTAACCACCAAAAATTGGTTCACCACCAAGAAACTGAAAGTGGAACTATAGCTCACGTGGTAAAGTGCAAAAGAGCAAAAGAGCTCAAAGACAGTGCATAATCCCTAAATTCAAGTCCCAGGACCAGCATGAACACACACACACACACACACACACACACACACACACACACCAAAAAACTGATCTCCCAAGCCTGAACATACTCACAAGCTTTCAATTACTCCTTGCCTGTGCTCCTCAGAGATCTTCAAACAAGCAAGATTCTCCAAGGCCTGCAAGTCTGGCTCCCCATGGCTCCCCCTTTCATCCCCTTCCTCTCTTTAAGTTCTCATTATGCTGACTCCATTTTTGTTGTTGTTGTTGTTGTTTGTTTATGGTTTTGGTTTTAATTTTTTGCTGGTCCTGGCCCTTCAACTCAGAGCCAAAGCACTGTCCCTTCGCTTTTTTACTCCAGGCTGGTGCTCTATCACTTGAGCCACAACTCCATTCCAGCTTTTTGGTAATTAATTGGAAGTAAGAGTCTTAATTGACTTTCCTGCCCAGGTTTGCTCTGAACCTGGATCCTCAGATGTCAGCTTCCTGAGTAGCTAAGATTACAAGCAGGAGACACCAGTGCCCAGCTCTGACTCCTTCTTGTCCTCTAAACATACATGTCTTCTGAACCTCTGTGCCCTTTCATATACTTATCTTCCTGTAAGATACTGTCCACTCTTTTGTCTATCTGAAGAATTTGGTATTGGATCCCCCCAACTACATTCTGTCATGGCACCCTGTGGCTGTTTCTAAAATAACTTTGTCACACAGAAGAATGTAAACTACTTCAATGTCTGCCTCACAAGAATTTGACCCTTCTTCCCCACCTCGCCAATGCTGAGCATGGAGACAACCACAGGATGCAGGCAACCAACTGTCTAGGAAGACACTGTCTGGGGAAAACT